TGATCTATAAACTATGAATTGCAAACCATGATAACAAAGGAGTCATATTAATGCAATGGGTGAAGGTATCTATCTTAAGCTGCAGTAATATGACTTTGCTGAATGGCTGTGAAGATTCTCAATCATTCAAGAGCATTGTTGTCCCCAAAGTGCTTTTTCCAAATGGCAACTGGACTTTCTTAAGTTTTTTCTTTGAGAATGTTTTGCTTCTCTTACAAGAAGCTTCTCCAGTTCCAAATGATATTTAGATTTTTGCAATCCCAGTAAGTAGCCTTTATTTAGAGATGTTTAAACTGAAACTTTAACAGTGGTCAAATATTGATTCTGCCATGGTTTACATTATTACAATTACAGCATATTTATTTGCTCAAAGTAACATTTTATCACACATACACAAAATGTCATGCAGCAAATGGTTAAAATAGTACTACGTAGATCTCAATTGTTCCAAAGATGTTGTTCAAAAGACCTAAAATGCATATCTATATATATATTTTTTCAAAAGGAGAAACACTCATTTTAAAATGCTTCTTCATTCCATGTCAGAAGATAACTATTCCTGCCTTGGCCACAATCGCATTCTCCCACTTTTAAGAAACCATTTACACAAGGAAGCTAAATTTTTTGAATAAAAAAATTACAAACTATAGTATTTTTTTTCAATGAAGATTTCCAACAGTGAGGCTTTCAAAACTATTCTGGATTGAAAAAATATTCATCCAGAATTAAGCAGTATGTTGATTACAGCTGAGATTACCGAGATCGAAATTATTACACAAATTTGTTACAACAGCAATTTAAGGACTGCTTCAGTGTAATAATCAATAGTTTTTTTAAAAAAAAAATCTAAGAACGGTGTGAATGTTTCCCCCCTGTTCTTTCCTTGCAATATCAGAGGTTTTCTAGTATGGAAGAATGGTGGTTGCTGCAGGAGATCATTCCGTAGCAATGCAAGAAGAGCCTAGCAGCTAAACTCTTCTTGCATTGCTACGGAATTGATCTCCTGCCGCAGTCACCATTCAGTCACAGACCTCTTAAGCCAGCATTCTGGATAACAAAGCTTACAATCAGGGTAAGCGAGTGATAACCCTGCTTCACAAATGCGCTTCCAAGCCAGGATTTCGCCCCACCTCCCCACCCTCACCCGGCTCAGAGCCTCCATTTCGTGAGAGAGACTGAACAGTTGATTGTCTCGCAGGCTCAGGTGCTCCAGGTTGCTCAAGCTGGCCAAGCCCCGGGGCGGATGCTGCAGCCCTCGACGTGCCAGAGAGAGCGAGCGAGTCCCGGAGCCGCCTCTCAACACGCGAAGCAGCTTCCCTTCCGCCATCTGCGGACCGTCCTCCGGCCCGATCACGTCGCTGTGGAAACGACAGAACTTAAAAAAAGTTCTTTCCTCCCGTTGTAGTACAAACGCCGAAAGCTCAGCTCGTTTGATGGGCGGGCACAGAATTGTGGCAATTGTTATAGCTCGGCGTCACAAATCATTCATCAGTGTTCATTTATGACGAATACTGCAATTTTTAAAATGCGCGCTACGAAGTGTGGGGGAGTGGGGAATACACTCCGTGGGAATAGAAACGTGGGGTGTATAAATTTAGTTGCCGTCGCTTGATAACGTTGCAAGATCTGATCAGAATCCAAAGAGAGAAATACATCTATGATAAATAATGTTAAAACGGATCAGATTATTTTCCAATCCACAGCTGTGGAGAATAACAGTTGACTAATGTTAGCATCCAAGTACAAATAAATTCAAGTGATGTTGGCTAATTTAGAAAGCCAAGTAGAGTTTTGAAGGTTAGATCTTGGAAGAACTGTTCTTAAAGGAGACATTGCTTTATAATATCAGGGTTATTTCAGCATCCAAATTTGGTGAAATGTTTAAGAGGCTGTTAATTCTAAGCTTCTCAGTTATGAAAATTGGCTGGGTTACTTTGGGCCAGTCACGGTCCTTCAGTCTGGCCCACCTCACAAGGTGGCTGTTGTGGGAAAATAGGAAGTGCAGAGGTATTAGGTTATGTTTGCCGTCTTGATTTGATTTGATTTGATAAGGTGGAATAAAAATCTAACCATCCCTTACCTTCTGTGATTTGTACTTTGTAGTGCTAAAGTTAATTAATGAACTTTGGGCCTTTACAAAATACCTCACTGCAGTATTAAATGCATTCACACAAACTGAGCACTGCATAGTGTAACCTGAGAAAATAGATTGAAGGGGGGCATTCCCAAGTGGACAATACAGAGGTCAAGTGGAAAGGATATACACTGCTCAAAAAAATAAAGGGAACACTTAAACAACACACTGTAACTCCAAGTCAATCACACTTCTGTGAAATCAAACTGTCCACTTAGGTAGCAACACTGATTGACAATCAATTTCACATGCTGTTGTGAAAATGGAATAGACAACAGGTGGAAAGCATAGGCAGTTAGCAAGACATCCCCAATAAAGGAGTGGTTCTGCAGGTGGTGACCACAGACCACTTCTCAGTTCCTATGCTTTCTGGCTGATGGTTTGGTCACTTTTGAATGCTGGCGGTGCTTTCACTCTAGTGGTAGCATGAGATGGAGTCTGCAACCCACACAAGTGGCTCAGGTAGTGCAGCTCATCCAGGATGGCACATCAATGCGAGCTGTGGCAAGAAGGTTTGCGTAGTGTCCAGAGCATGGAGGTGCTACCAGGAGAGAGGCCAGTACATCAAGAGACGTGGAGGAGGCCGTAGGAGGGCAACAACCCAGCATCAGTACCGCTACCTCCACCTTTGTGCAAGGAGGGACAGGAGGAGCACTGCCAGAGCCCTGCAAAATGACCTCCAGCGGGCCACAAATGTGCATGTGGCTGCTCAAACGGTCAGAAACAGACTCCATGAGGGTGGTATGAGGGCCTGACATCCACAGGTGGGGGTTGTGCTTACAGCCCAACACTGTGAAGTACGTTTGGCATTTGCCAGAGAATACCAAGATTGGCAAATTCGCCACTGGCGCCCTGTGCTCTTCACAGATGAAAGTAGGTTCACACTGAGCACATGTGACATGAGTGACAGGGTCTGGAGATGCCATGGAGAACATTCTGCTGCCTGCAACATCCTCCAGCATGACCGGTTTGGCAGTGGGTCAGTAATGGTGTGAGGTGGCATTTCTTTAGGGGGCTGCACATTGATGCTATGGACTGGCCCACCCATTCCCCAGACCTGAATCCAATTGAGCACATCTGGGACATCATGTCTTGCTCCATCCACCAACGCCATGTTGCACCACAGACTGTCCAGGAGTTGGGGGATGCTTTAGTCCAGGTGTGGGAGGAGATCCCTCAGGAGACCATCTGCCACCTCATCAGGAGCATGCCCAGGTGTTGTAGGGAGGTCATACAGGCACGTGGAGGCCACACACACTACTGAGCCTCATTTTGACTTGTTTTAAGGACATTACATCAAAGTTGGATCAGCCTGTAGTGTTTTTTTCCATTTTAATTTTGAGTGTAACTCCAAATCCAGACCTCCATGGGTTGCTAAATTTGATTTCCATTGATAATTTTTGTGTGATTTTGTTGTCAGCACATTCAACTATGTAATGAACAAAGTATTTAATAAGAATATTTCATTCATTCAAATCTAGGATGTCTTATTTTTGTGTTCCCTTTATTTTTTTGAGCAGTGTATAACATTTAACAAATGAAATACCTAATAATGTATGTACTCATAGCAAAAAATGCCTTTCTCAATATGGACCGATTTTGAAAAGCGCTTGAAGTTTCATTAAAAATGACAGAAAGCAGAATTTACACTAGTCAAATTCAGTTCAAATGGAGGGAAATGGAAATAAGGTTCAAAGTAAAATTACCACAATAGTTATGTTTTCAGTAATACCATTTTTCACTTTTCAGATGCCAGTAATATCACAGTAATAGTAATTCTTCCTTTTTTCCCAAGAAATTTAGACTAAAACCTCTTTCAAAAATTAAGGGTTTTTTAAAAATCAGCATATACCTATATAGATAAACTCAGAGTAGGTTACAAATAAAATTCTATATATTTCTCGGGTATTAGCACATACTAGATACAATATGAGTGATCAAAAAGGTGTTCATTATGAAAGTCAGATGACTTATGAACAATTTTAATTATAAGAATATTTTAAATGATGTATAAAGCAGCACACCACAATGCAAGAGATGAAAATAATTGAAGTTTTATATATTGTCATTATTACCTCAAATATGAAATGGCCTATAGGATCATAGTATATTCATAAATCATGCTTTACAAGGGAAATTGTTTCCTTTCTTGAAATATAGTCATTGTGGGATGTATGTGGAGATATGTATCCTATAGCAATATTATAATCCACTCTTCCTGTTTTCAAAATAATGGGATAAGTAGAATACCCAGGTAGAGGCACTATTTCATTTTAAACTGGACAACATTCAATATACCAGAGCTTTTTAATACCTATCTAAAATAGATACTAGCACAATGAGTCTTCTGCAGATATTCTATTTACATGTTACAGGATTATCCTGTTACCTAAGAAAGATCAGTTCAACAGCCCTGAAAAGTAAAGTTCTACTTTGAAAAAGATATTCTAATGGAAAAACACATGCTTTGCGTTCCTAGCAATTCCAAGGTGGGTTGGCAAAGTATCACTTTATCCTTATTAATGTTACTGTAAACTGAGCTGCAAGAATCAATATGGTAAGACTGCTTCCTATACTTTAATGATCAGAGAAGCATTTCAGAATCAGGTACTCTTCTGCCACAACCCAAAATAAAAACAACATGAGTGTTTCATTAAAGGGGATTCAATACTCAGAACAAATCATCTTGAAAACTATTATAACAGCTCAGCAATTTCAGATAATCCGTATGTCAATGGCTTTTATAATTATTTTATGATTAGTGCCCATAACAACTGAACCACAATGCAATATTGCATGTCTGTGCGTATACATATTGTGTACACTGGCTGTCCTGTTAAAATAAAGAAGTAAAACAAACAAAGGGAATATAACCCACAATTTATTGATACATTAGAAACACATCAGAATTTTTTTAAAAAAACATGATTTAAACTGAGTAGTGCTGATAACAGATGTCATATGTACAGACACACATACCATATACGTGTGTTTGTATAACCCTGTATGCCTTATTAAAGAATTGAGAATGTATTTTAAGACCTATATAGAGACATTTTGTAGAATTGTGACCATCATTCATGTCTTCTGATGAACTGTGTATTAGCTTTCATTTTCTGCAGTGTTCTCCAATAGAGTTTTTACAGAATTATAATGTTCTCCTAATCCATACGCATGTCTCATGTACCTAAAAAAAAAATGTGAAAAATTCAAGGACTTCCACCAAATTAAAACATCACAGGCACACTTGATATAAGTTACCATATTATTTATTTAAAAGATTTTATGGCTGCCCATAGTTGTGTTTTAAGATATGGGTGATCATATAAATATCTTAAGGATATCTTAAAGAGCCTCTGCGCCGTAGTTAGAGTGTTGTACTTCTGCTGACTATCGGCTGCCTGCAATTTGGTAGTTCAAATCCCACCAAGTTCAAGGTTGACTCAGCCTTCCATCCTTCCAAAGTGGGTTAAAGGAGGACCCAGATTGTTGTGGGACTCTGTAAAACCGCTTAGGGCTATAAAGCACTATAAAGCGGTACATAAGTCTAAGTGCTATTGCTATTAAACAAAGTTCACTTTAACAGTAAGTTAATCAATAGAATGAGCAAATTCAGTTTTTGTCACTGAAAGTTATTTCTACAGAAACTGAAAGACATTGCTTAAAGCAATATTCTCTTTTTTTAAACTGAGTTCATTTTCTATAAAAAAGTAGACACTTTTATTCTTGGGGTGTTTTTTTTTTTAAGAAAACAGGTAGCAACCTACAGATTTTTGCTACTTTATATTGTCAGAAACAATGAAGTTAGTGATCACAGTGATCACAAGCCACCTACAAATTTGAAGGCCAATATTAAATCTCTGAATGTTTCTAAACTCTGAAAAAGGTGCCAAATTAGAGCTATGTGGTTTTATAATTTGCAGTTCATTTCTTAATTGAATTTCAAGTGAAAAGCAACCAAACAAAAATTGTTTTGAAGTTGAATGTATTTACTCACACAAGTATTAGTGGTTTCCTACTGTATTCTTCACCAACAATAATAGGAGGGGAATCCATCTGAATTACTTCAATTGGTGTTTGCAAGATATGTGATAAAGCTCGTAGCTGTAAAGCAAAATTACATCTTAATTTACATTTTAATCTTTATCACTTCAGTATCTCTACAAAAAATATGAGGTAGACTGGTTGCTTTCATGGTGTGCAGACAATAACTTGGTCCTTAACACCAATAAGACCAAGGAGCTTATAGTGGACTATAGAAGGAATAGATCAGATATCCAGTCCTTGCTTATCAATGGAGACCAAGTGGAGCAAGTGGCCAGTTTTAAGTTTCTGGGTGTTATCATAAAAGAGGACCTAACCTGCAGCACTGGTCAAAAGGGCCCAGCAGAGATTATACTACCTAAACCTTCTCAGGAAACAACTGAATGAAAAACTGCTGGTGACCTTCTACCGTTGCACCATAGAGAGTATTTTAACTTATTGCACCTGTGTATGGTTTGCCAATTGAACAGTGGCAAATAGGACAGCACTTCAGAGGGTTGTCATTGCCCAGAGGATCATTGGTTTCCCTCTCCTCTCTTTGGAAGAGCTTCATAGGTCCTACTGCCTTGAGAAAGTTCAAAATATTCTTAAAGATCCATCTCATCCTGGGCACCCTTTTTTTAACTATTACCATCTGGTGGACAATACAGGATAATAAGAACAAGGACAGATAGGCTGAAAAACAGTTTCTATTTGGGTTTGTCAGAAACTATATTGAATTCTACTATATAGTGCAATATTAATGCAATTCGGGTTTTCAATTCAATTGTAGAGAATGAAGGATGTGTGTTTGTGTTTTATTTTTATAGTTATAATGTACACTGAAAATGGCATTTAATTTCATTGTACGAGGTGCAATGACAAAGTAAACTAAACTAAAATATTTTTCTACAAAAGCATACATGATGCATAATTCTACCAGCTCCAGATATTTAAACATCCAAATTACTGAATTTAATTAACTGAAGACTACCTGTATTATTTCTATAGGCCAAATAAAAGTCTCAGCAAACATGAGAAAAGTAAGTATCAAAACATGATACTTATATATTTTTCCTAACATTCCTAACAACTCTGTGAAACAATATGAAAAAATGCTCTTTATTTTCACCACAATCCTCACTGCCTAACAATCTTCCCTATTTCTTTTAAAGATCTTGGAAAATTCTAATTCTAGTATCATTTGAGCAACCTACTTATCTAATAGATCTTTCTCTCCAAGTTTCCTGGAGAAGAAATATAAATTCAATTCACTAGTGCTTTTTATAATACATATCTCTTTTATAAAATAATAAATATTTTATAAGAAAATACAGCATGTCATACTTACTTCTAACTGACCACCCCATGAAGCAGTGTTTGCTATATCAGAACAGTATTTTTCAAATTCCTCTGCAGAAAAAAAAAGCATCACAATTTAAAAACATAAAAATGGGGGGGGGGGGGGGGATAATCTAAAAATAAAAAGTAGAATGGGAAAAGGAAGCTTGCAGAATATAAACTCTTGCAAAATAAAACACAAAGCAAAAGAAAAACCAAAGATTTATATACACTATCACTCTCAAAAAGACAAAATGGATAACATTGATAAAAGTGTGAAACAGAAAAAAAGGAAAGGCTTAATTTATTCAAGTTTAATAGATTTAAATTTTTATTGTGCCTAATTAATAAGTTTTCATATTCTGAAATGTTTCCCTACTTCATAAATATGGTTCAGAAAAAGTACTACATATATAATTTTTACCATCATTTTTTGTTATGAACAAAGATAAGACATGCTGAGATTTGTTTTAACTTGACTGTAAATAATGTTTTTCTTTTTTACATTTTACACAGATTGATTCATTTACCTCTACCCTAAAAATGCTCTCTCTCTCTATATATATTTTCTTAAGTTTTCGCAGGTACTTACATGTATGGCATTCAGCTTTGTTCGGGTATTTTCCTACGTCATTGTAGTTGTGCTTTTAAAGTTGTAGCAACATTTCGGCAGAATCTCATCTGCCATCATCAGGCTTCTGTATATAGAAGCCTGATGAT